CCCTCGCATCGGGTTGCTTGTCTGAGTCACTCCCAGGAAAGGTGTCTCAGCAGAGGAATGGCCGCAGGGCCTAACTCCCCAAACCCTTGTTACTGTCCCCTGGTATGAACCGTGTTAGATCAGATACAGTCTGTTTTCCTCCTAAAGGACTTCAGGCCTATGGACTATATACTCTGCTCAGTTTCCTGACATTCTAGCACTTTCTGATCCCCGGGGTCACAATCCTCATGCCAAGCATATTCTCTGTTGCTTTAAAATATCAATTAACAGATATTTACGTAGAGATCCCTGCTCTATTTTCCACGCACTACTGGGCACCATAAGGTGCAAAAGCACACAAAACAATTTTTCTGACCTAAACAGCTTACAATCTAGTTGAGAAAATGTGACAGCCCCGTGAACCAATTCCTAAAGGAAAAGTACTTACAACAGCATGAAGATAACATGTCAAACTATAGTCTTTATAATAAATTGTGAGGAACCTATAATTAGAGAGGAGTCTATAATAAGAACTTGTTTAGTAAAAACAAAGGAGTTAGATAACTGCATATCCTGGTCGTTTGTATTGTTCTTGTTTATTACATAACAACATGCACCCATTTTTCTAAGCTATATTTCCAACTTATTTTACAGTTAGAATCCCTTTTTAACAAATACGATTATAGCAGCCAGTTCTATGTAATAAAAATATTTCTTCTGCTGGCCAACAGCCTATACTAACACTCCTTTGCTGATGGAGATCCAAGACTCCTTTTGAAGAAAAAAATCAGTCTGAGAAAGACATTCACAAATCCCTGTTCATTTGGCAGTAAATCTACTTAACAAAAAGGTTATCCTTTCAGCAGAGTATTGACATAAAGTACAGGTTTGCGTATCTGCACAGCGTTAAATAACTTAACAAAACTTGACTTTTTTAAGGTTGCATTGACTTTACTTGGGGCTTTTATATATCTTCTCCAAATAAAGGAGCTGACCACTATTGGTTCCTAGAGCTCACAGGGCTCTGATTAGTTCTGGGTAGAGGACTGTGGGAATCTCATCCCAGGTCTTGCAGGGCAAAGGCAGCAGAAGAGAGCATGCATTTCCTGCCATTGCCTTTTCGCCTACCAGCTGAATATTTGTGCTAATGGAAGGAAGCAATCTCATTCCCATCATCCAAAAGCTACTTTTTGCTTGTTTTTGAAAGAGTTTTTGTAATTATACTAGAGTATAGGAATGCCTAAGTAAAATTTGGAGAATTTACAATATATGAAAGAAAAATAGTTATAAATCTACCCTGTGTCTCTGGGACGGTAGGCTTATGTGAGACAGCCAGGCTCTGCATTTACACGAGCACTTTCTTGCCGTAGGAGACCAGCAGTATGTAAGTGTTTGGGTTAAGACGCCCTCCTGCCAGGCTTCAAATTAGGTGAGGCTGGTAAAGTAAATAAAAGGTAATGGATTGTGTCCATACATGACTTCATTCCATCCTTTGAATGACTTGATCAATAACTACTAGAGGGCAAGACTCAGCAATAATCATGTACAGTACGTATATGCCTCCAGGCAATAGAAAGCTGACTTTATTTCCTAAGGTGTTTGAGGTGTGCCAGACTAAAACCCTCTTCCTTCACCGTTGGAGACATCTAGTGTAGTTTTTCTAAAATGATTAATGTTTTCTTTCTCTAGGCTTATGCTACTAATCACACGCAAACTCCTTGAACTGTCTTAAACAAATTCACCCACAGGCAGGAGCGCTGCAGGACTCGGGGTGTGATGGACTAGGATGGGCACGTAGTGCTTTCATTTCTCCCCTCTGGTCAACATTTGTTTTCTCTGTACTCAATGTCTCTTGCTGCCCTGTGAACTCAAATTGAAGGACTTTGTTTCACTGCGTATCGAGGTGGGATACGGGTGGAGGTGTGTTTTTCATTGGATTTTACCAAATTTAATTTGTGTCCAGTTTTTTACAGAATAATTTCCTATTTCTAAAACAGCTGCCAGTTAGTAGAGATTTGGAATCTGCAGTTATCCTGAAATACTAAGAGAAAGATTCAGAAATTATATTTTCAGAGCATCATTTATTTAACAATTCTTCCTAATTTTAGATACAGGAAATGACTCACTCTCCGTTCTTTGAACATTGTGCATTTCCTGGCATCTTGCTGCCCCCTGGTGCAGCATGCCATTGAGTGCATCCTTCTTTGCAGGCAATCTTGGTTTGCATTATTACTATCTGATCAGACCATTTTATGCTTGCCTGGGGTCTGGCGATATGATTAGACACTAATCCATGACTCCAACAAAGTCCTCCACGGGTCCTATTTTGCCAAATAGATCCAATTTTTGGAGCAGGAGTTTGGTGGGCTAGAGAGTGCAGATGAGAAACTGGGCCTCAGCTGGACTTTTCAGATCCCTTGCAATGGAGAGACATGGTCTAGCTCCCAATGGGCCTCATAGAAATCTCTGAAGCTGAACAAATCTGGACCCGCTCTAGCCCAGGCAACCTGTCTCAAGGTGATTGCAGGGAGCCCAGAAGTTTCAGTATAGTGCCATGAATTGGAGGAACAGATCTTGTGTTGCTAGAGCAAAGTAACAAGAGCACTGGGTTTTGAGAGAAACAGCCTTGGGAAATTTCCTTGACTTCTTTGAGCTTGTATAAAACTGTCATTGATAAAAAAGTAATCTCAGATGTTTTAAGGATTTAATATATAATTTATTTTCAAAGGCTCTGTACACTTTAACATGTGATATAAAGCTTCACCTATTACGTTTACTGTGGCCAGAGTAGCCATTAGGTGCAATTTAAGGATTATGGAAAGGCGTTCTGACCCCAAAGACATGCTCTCAAAACTGCTCTGAAATGATCACAAAATTGTAAGCCATGTATGTGGTCTCCATGAAGTTCTGCCAAAATGACCTTGAACAAGCTGTTTAACTTCATTGGGCCTCTGTTTTTCCATCTATAAAGTATTAGTGCACCTATTTAAAGGGATTACTTGGGGATTCAATGAGATAACATATGCCTGACACATGGCATATTTCAATAATTGTTAATTCCTTCCTCCTCCCTTCTTTTTTTCTAGTCTGAAATAGTCAACACCTGCCTTTGACACCAGACACTAACAAGTAGATGGTGGACTACTATGCCCTCTTTCTGAATTGTCCCCAAAAGAACTGAGAGGCAGCCCTTTCTTGTCACCATTAGCTTTCAAATATTGGCAAGAAAATTTGCAGTAGAGAGGGGGATAAGGGCGTAGAGGCAGTCATTAAAATCTTCAGTGTTGGAAAGTGTAACTGACAGGAACTTCAAGGTATTGCCTGTTCAGGAACCATGTGTACTTGATGGTGAGAATGAAAGAGATTTTCCTCCTTTATTGATGACTATAGCTGCAGCTTTGACTGAGGGAGCAGAGCAGACCAGAGAAAAGAAAGTCATTTAATGCAGGAAAGGTCATTTTGTGATAATGGAATTTTTTTCAAAAGAATGCATTATAGACATCATACCTACTTTTCAGAATCAGAATGTTTAAAAAACAGATGCTCATTCCTATGGTGAATTAGCAAACAAAACAAAGTTTTTAAACTCAGTAAAACAGAGGGAAACACATAGAGCCACATCTATGTATGCATGCATGTCTACGCACACACATATACACACTTTGTAGGTAAACTATACATTTTTATGCTTTTATGTGTGGTTTGTGTTTTGGTGAAAGCATTGAAAATTGGGTGGGTTTTGTTAGGTAGTCAGCAAGTGTCCATGGAGAAAAGTAAGAGAAATTTAAGGATGATCACTATTCGATGGTAAGGAAGAATTTGCACTAAGGTCTTTCTCCCACCTACGCCCTAGTTCTGTCCTTACCCTGACTATGAACTGGACAGAAACGAGAGAGAACACATAAAATTATGCATTTCATTAAATTTGTGTAAAATCTTTTCAGATCTTCTTAGACATTGTTTTAGAACTCACCAAGGAGGAGTTTTACTCTGTTGGAATCAGATCCCTAGAGTTGAGCTAGAGGGAAGCTGAGATATTGCCCTGTCCAACCCCTTTATTTTATAAACAGGGAAGCTAAGGCCTAGTGAGAGCACATGGCTGGAGTGCCCTCCCGTAGTATTCTCTCTCTTTCCTCGTGTCTTGATCACGTTTGCTTGGTCCATCTCCCCAGAAAAGTGTTAGTGTTCAGAAGCACTAGACCCGATTTGCGTGTGTTTGGCTCTTCTCTCAGCACCACACAGTGGAAATTCAGTAAAGTCCATTCTTAATCTCCTCCGGAGAATTGCTTCTTCCCAAAAGAAATTGTAATTATAATAGACAGAGAGAAAAGGATTGCTAAATAAGAATATTGCCTTTAGTAACATTTATTTAAATTATATGATGCAAAATTTCATATCCCAGTGTAATATTTTAGCCTATTTCCCAGAGTGGGAAGAACCCATGTGAATTAGCAATGAGATTCTTGTGTTACATTAGGAGGAAGGGATGTGTTCTAGTTCTGTGCTTTACAAAAACCTCAGGGATTGAGTTTTTACTTCATGTAAAAGCCCATTTGGCAATGCATTTAATATTACCCAACATTCAACAAATATTTATTGAGCTCCTGCTGTGTTTCTAGCACTATTTAGAGCCTTAGGATGTTTCAGGGAGCAAAACAAAGATTCCTGCTTTTGAGATTATATCTTAATGTATGTTTGTAACATATGAATGAACTTCCAAATACCAAATTGTTCTTGGACAGCATTCTAGTGAAAGTGTGTCATTTTTTTTTTATTGTCTTCCTTAAAATAAAAGGCCTACTTTTCTCAAGAAAATTGCTTTTTAGTCAAGTTGCTTGAAATTTGGCACAATACTGCCGCCTTGCGGCTACTTGAATCAGGAACCCCCATCCACTACAAGGCCAACTCTGTCTTTCAGGTAAGGTTTATGGGAAAATTATCCTCTTTTTCAGTGGAAGGCTTTGGCACAAAATAACCTAGCTAGGAGTATTTACGATCTAATTCTTCTGGTTTTGCAACAGAACGATTGGAAGGGCTCCGTCGCTTTTGTAGTTGGAAACCGGATTGAGGACGATCTTCTCATTCGAGCCCTCACTCTTGCTGTCCAGGCCCCTCAGCGTAAACTCTTCAGTATGGTATCATGGCAAGACATTCTCCAGCAGGTACCTGGCCCTTCCCACCTCTAAGCCCCTTGAAGATTTTTTTTCTTAAAGTAATAGAATAAAACAATAAATAAAACTATCATATTCTTGGGCTGTTTGCTAAATTTTGGTGGATTATTTTAAATAAAAACTTAGCTAGAATAAATTTGAATTGTTTAATCTGGAAGAATTATTTCTTGGCCGTGAATGTTGCCCATTCAACATTCATTCATTTAACGAAAACTTCTGAGGTCATACCAGGCTCCATGCTAGGTACTATGAGGAATTATTTAATAAAAGAGTCAATAACAATAAAAGATGAAACTATTTAATATATTTATAGGGAAGTCCATAGCTAACTAGAAGAATGAAGTCTGCAGGGAATCGTAGCTGTTGGGGGTGAGGGGGCAATGATAACATAGAAAAGTTGTGTCAGATGGCACCTACTCATACAATCACTAACAGCTTACCAGAGTGACTGTAGATCTTTCACCTAATTGATGTATATCTCCTCCTTGCTAGGTTCCCCACCCCTCAAGTCACCCAGCTATTTGAAAGTTACAGATATCTAAGTATTCTTTAAGTACACCTTTCTTTTTCATTATAGATGGATTTAATTTTCTTACAGATCGACGAAACAAATACACTTCTTGGAACTGCATCTAAAAAGGCAAAGAAACCTCTAGGCGGTGGTACTCCCTTATATTATGAGGTAGGTAAATGTATTTATTGAAGACATTTTTGTAATTTTTATAAAATAAGAATCTAAGTCATAATCTTAAAGACAATTTTTTTAAATTAATTTGTTCTTTGAAAGCAAATTCCTGCTCCTCATTGGAACTATTTGTTTCTGATTGTGGGCACTTAAAAAATCTTCCTCCCTTTTAACAAAATCCATCTCTAGGAATAAAATTGCCCTAGATTGTCTACACCATTGCTGCTTCCAATTGAAGAATATAAATCAGAATTTTTATATACAAAAGTGTTGGGTCATACTTTTTCATGGTAATTATTCAGTATGTGATGGTATTAAAGGGAGTCATAGTATTAGCGTATTACAAAGTGTTAGTTTCACCTAAGAAACAATGTAAAAATGCCTCCAGAAAGTGTTTCCTGCACAAGACAGAGGCACAGCTGGAATAATCTTCCATCAATTTGTGAGCTTTGTGCACATGTTATGTCCCGCTTTAATCAATGTGAAAATGACGGTAATCTTCATTAGTGGTCCATTCCATTTCTAGCAGATACTTCACACACAAGTCTGGCTTGGCTGACCAGTGGGTTTGTGCAAAGGACTTAGAACTCATGTTCGGTAAGGGGATTTCCTCTCACTCTGCCTTGTTAATATCTAACTTACAGCTTACAAGAAACTATAAAAATCCAGCGATTAATTAGACTATCACTTAAAATTTGTCAGGCACTATTTTATGGCTCTGCAGACTGAAAGCATAAAGATTTTTGGCTCTTTCTGAGACGAACTTGTTTGCACTTTATTTCAGTGATGACTAATAAAGTTTTTATGTGTCTCAGGTCTTGGATGATTTCATAGCGGGCTCTTTAATATTGCCTGAGTACTATTGAACAAGTTTCATTGGATTTATTTATGATTGACAGTATCGTGGATTTTATAGCATTAACTCTTGCTATACTACACTCACTATCATAGAAAACTTATTCTGTGCTGTTGAAGTCAAATCACGTACCTTCTCCCTTTTGTTATGATGTTCTGAATGTGCGTGCTCCAGTTGAAACATTATGTGATACCTGGATTTATAATATTGAAAGTTTTCTTCTGAAGTAGCCATAGAAACCCATGTCCAATTCTCAGGCCTGGGATCAATTAGCCCCCCCAAAGGACTCTTTCTTCTTCAAAGATGCTCAGTAAAAATCAGAGATGATAACAGGCCAGTTTTGATGTCTAATCTGGACAGGCGTTTTGACTTGGATGTGGGATAGCACAGTGTTATAAATCCAGAGTTCAGTTAGAAAGCCATTCCTCTCCAATATGTGCTGTGACTCTTGGTTGCATATCCTTCACTCAGGGGAGGTCCATTTCACATCTGGCTCTACCACATTCTTCCAGAGAGGCATTTAGGCAATAAGCCTCCCACACCCACTCACATACTCTTTTGTGAATGGTTCCAGAAGAAAAGGAAAGCAGGATGAGCACCACAGAGATTGGACATTGGGTGCACTATAAGCACATTAATGTCAGTCATTGTAGCAAAAGTGGATAGAGAACATGAAACAAATCAGGCTCCTTGTCAGCATCAGCCAAGGATAGAATGCACATCTGGACAAGGGGAGCACATTTCCAGTCTCAGTCCCTCCACACTGAGGACCTGTTCAGGAACTCTGTTACCTGGTACCTCACTCCAAATGAATTGAAAAGCTATGAGCAATGCCCACTGAGAGCCCCAAGATAGTTGTGAGTGGTGGCCATGAAAGAGGTCCAGAAGCCAAACTCTTTTGTGAACCTCTGGACTTTCAAGGCATGTGGACAGCCTACTCGTGAGTCTAAAAGTCTTGCATGGTCTATAGCAACTAGAACACTTGCCACAGGTGAGCTCAGAAACCCATTTACGAAGTCTTATATTTTCTTTCTGAGAGGAAACTCTGCAATGGAGAAGAAATAACCTAACAAAATTACTTAGATTACATGAGAAATTCATAGAGTTCTGTTTCTTTTTAGACCTCCATTTTGGGGGTCGGCCCTGTGGCGTAGTGGTCAAGTGTGCACGCTCTGCTGCTGGCGGCCTGGGTTTGGATCCCTGGCGCCCACCGATGCACCGCTTGTCAGGCCATGCTGTGGCGGCGTCCCCATATAAAGTAGAGGAAGATGGGCATGAATGTTAGCCCAGGGCCAGTCTTCCTCAACAAAAAAAAAAAAAAAAGAAAGAAAGAAAGAAATAGACCTCCATTTTGGAGGGAGAACTCAAAATAGATATTATAAGCCCGTGCACTTACATTTACTTCTATTTGTAGGATACTCTCATTGGCCCTAAATCAGAGCCTAGTCGTTCTTACTTTAAACACAGTTCTAACCAATCTGGCTTTCTGGTTTCCTAGCCTGCAGTCGATTAGGAGCAGCAAATTAAAGTGAAATTTCACTAAAGTGCAGTTCATCCATGAGTAGGAAAATAGTGTCAGAACCACATTACGTATTTCCGATAACGACTTGAAATGTCTGGGCTAGAAAACACTACATTCCTAAATAATTGGCTCAAGCTTTCATCTGGATGGCTTGGTGTTGTATACACACAGCCTCATTTTGAAATTGTGTAATTTCCCTGGAAACTTTAGAATTTCATCTAGCCATGATATTGTATATATGTGAGAGTCTTTATGTGTAAACCACAGTTCTTTGAAAACCTGCTTAGATTTGTGCTAACGTAATTCCACAGAGACATAGCTACAGCCCATTTGTTCATTCACCTTCTCTTTTTGGAAAACATATTTTGCTCTAGCAGGAACTACTCCAAGGACTCATGTGGGAATAGGAAGAGAATATTCTCCTTTATGTATAGTCTCAGGATTGTTAGCTATTACTTTATTATATTATTATTAGTAATAGTATTTAATAGTAAGGATGAAGATGATGATCCCATCTACTTGCACTATATATTAGCATAATTTCCAGCATGTAATCCTATTTGAGGATGTGCACACATATGAAAACAGATCTAGAGATATTGCCTGCATTATATAGTGACCAGTTTTACCAAATAGTGGTATTTAACCCAATACCAAATAATTAACAAGTACATTCAAGTTAGGGGAATGCAAATATTATAAAGACCCTAACCTCAAGGAGCGTAAGGGCTAGTTAGAAAAAATATATATATGCGTGACACATAGGTGTTCAATAAATGTTTGTTAAATGAGTGAATAACACAATGCAGAAAATAGTGAAGTCCACGAGGGACAGATGAAGTATAGTGGCGTTCAAAAGAAGATGAGATTTCCATTAGCTAAGGTGGGCGGGGAGCGGGGTGGGATCTAGTAAAGCTTTGTGGAGAAGGTGGCATTGGGTGGGAAAGGAAAGGGGGGCTGATAATTTTGATACTTTCAATATATTATCCCAATTAACTCATATCACAATTCTAAAAACAAATATAAATATCCTCATTTTACATATAGGGAGATGGAGGCAGAGAGAATGTAGGAAGTCTAGTAATTAGAAACCTGAAGAACTTAGATTTAACCATAGTTAAATACATAGCCTCAAGTTTTTTCACTCTACCACAAACCCAGTAGTCTTTCACTGGGCTCAAAGCTGTCCACCCTTGAGTGGGTAAGTCTTGACATTCCAATGTGGGAGAAGGCATCCTAAGAAAAGGAAACAGCTCAAGCAAAGGCATAAGAGTGCGAGAAGAGTGAATGAATACATACTAATGTTGTAGTTACATGGTACAATATATACTAAATAGGAAAGGTAAATCCTGTACATATTTTAATTACATATTATCCTGTACATATTTTTATTTAAATCCTAAAGATGGAAATCTATTAGAAAACATTTCGAACGCTGGAAAAAATCCATGCTTTAAGATTCATGCCCAAACTTAAATTTATTCGCTAAATATGCACAAATATTTGTGTGTATGTGTGCTTTATGGCCCACATAGAGAATCCAACCTGTTCATTTGCAGGTATACTCAGTCCTGACCAAAACTAAAAAGGAAAATATTAACTGTCATTCAAAGCCAACTGAAATGTTCCCTGGGAGAAGTCTACGTGTACCATACACCCAAAGATTCTCCCACTTGCGATTAGATATCTGATACACAGTATGTGAGCACTGTAAGAGAGATGTCCAAATTTTGGACTTTGACATTGTTGCCTTGATAAATTAGAAAGAAAAAGACTGCCAATTAAGCAGAAGTTTGTTCATCCAACTTATCTGAAATCAGAGTCAACTGTCTTAGAAGTCTTAGATTCTCCTCCAGGGTTCTCTTCACTTCATGATGGTGCTGACTGTACCTCCCTACCTGGAAATGAGCCTCCATCCACACCTCGGCCATGGTTTCACGCCAGTCTGTGACTTATTCAGAAAAGACAAATTAGGTCACCAAAAAAAAAAACCCAAAAAACCAAAAGCCTGCTGAAATAAAAATCATCTATAAAGAATAAAGGTTTTTATACCCTAGTTGGTGACTCACTTATTACAAATAATAATGAATGCTATACAATAAAGAACCTGGACAATCCTAAAGATTATGTGATATGGTGCAATTTTACAAATAATTATTTATTTTCCTCTTTACTTCTATCAGTAAAAAAAATAAGATCCTATTTTTTGACTGATACATTTTAATTAAAATATTTCTATAGGCTTTTCTATTGGGAGAGCATTCTAAGAGATCATTAAATATGGATTTTTCTGACATGAGATTTGAGAGTGATGAACGAAATGCAGTTTAAAAAGATATAGGATGCAAATTTTATATCTAAAGATCTAATTAGTTTCACCCCATTTTTAAGACACTTTGCTAGTGCATTGGATTAGCATCTTCAGATGTAGTAGTTCCATTTTTTCGTTCCTATTCCAGTACATGTAGACATATTTCTCAGCTGTTTCCCCAACGTGTGTTCATAATAACTCACAAGCAAGAACACAGACGTAATCATAATCTAGTTGCCACCCTTTCCCAGATTCCTAATGTGACACTCATTTCTTATACAGCACCTCAATTTAATAGTCTATTCAGT